GGTTTCTTTTTTCTCTCTCTCCTTTTTTTTTTTTTTTCGTCGAGTGTCCTGTCGAGAAATACTTGGCTAAAAGATTTGGAAATTTTTTTTTGGAATAAAATCTTTTGGAATCGGATCGCATAAATTTATGCAAGATTATTTTTGATATTTTATTCGAATGGAAAAGAAAAGTAGTACGTGAAAGTTTGTGAAGTAGAAAGTTTTAGAAAAAGTTTAGTTGTTCGTTTAAAAAAATATTTACAATATTCTCGACGATCTCACAAATAGGATCTAATCTCACGAGAAAGAAATTAATTAATTATTAAATTGACGCGAGACATGTAATTCAAAAGTTGGACGATATGAAAGAAAAAAGAAAAAGTGATTTTCAATGTCTCTGTCTCAGAGACATCAAGAGAAGAAGAAAAAGAAGAAAAAAGAAATGAATCGTCCTATAATTATCGCAGCGCGATAAATCGTCAGTCAAAGGAATTTTATCCATCCACATGGATACGCGTATCGCTCAATGAAAACTCGTTTAACATTTACTATAAAGCCTTCGTTTATTCATCGTGAGTCATTGGCCGCGTACGGTCCTCGCGACCACCGTTGATAAAGCGCTTTTGAAAAAACTGTGCGTCCAACCTTTCCATCGATCCTTCTTTAAAAAAAAAAAAAATAATCTTTCGTTTCGACGTTCCGTTTCAATTTCAATAATCGTCTTATGGATTTTCTATTTTTTTTTCTTTTTTTCTTTTTTCAGTTTAGATAAATAAAACGTAAATGTAAAAGTGGTGGAAAATTATTATCATATTGTTGTGAAAAAAATTTTTTTTTCTTTAAATAAAATTACATTGTTTTAATTATAGCAATCGAGAAAAGTGTTGATCTATTTACGTCGAAAAATCATTAGTTTGGAAGATGTTGCAGGTTTTACGAACTTTATTACATATCCTTTAAACCAATGATTTTTTTAAATATCTTTTAATAATTTTTCCTCGATAAAAATAATCAAACTGTATCGATTTTATTGCATTTACAAAAAAAGAGCTAATCAAATCATGGCCTCTTTGAAATTTCTCTTATTTGAATCATTTTCAATCTGAATGTGAACAGTTTTCCACTAGTTTTTCACTAGTTTTATTATTGGCAACTCGTCTCTGTTGCCAATAATTAATCAGTTCACGAAACGAATTCGAATATCACTTTGAACGAGGTCGTGATTCAACAACGAGAGCGGGAAAAGAAAAAAATCTGAGAGAAAATTGCGAAGAGTTTATCGAGGAGGAGAAGTTATTTTCGAAGGCGTGGGCGTGAAGGGAAGCCGTGGAGACGGTATCTAAGGGCGATAAACATAATCACTCTAACCAGTACCTTGATATATTCCCGGTCAGTCGAGGCCCTTCTTCTTCTTCTTCTTCTTCTTCTTCTTCCTTCAAAAACCTTTGGAAACACGTTGCAAAGCAGAAGAAGGGGATACACCCACGGAAATTTTCTCCCCGCTTAAACACGTGCTCCACCACCTTCCGCTTCTTGTCTCTCGCTTCCTTTCTCGCACCTGCAATTCTTCGAAAATGAAACGAACGTTTTGGATAATAATTTGCGAATAAATAACGACGATGTTGAAATTAAAGATAAGCTGTTCGTATTTCGAATATAATTTTTCGGATCGATAATTTGGTGTCGTCGAAAAATGCAATTGCATTTTTAACGATAAACGATGAGAGTTAACTGCGTTGAAGTAGATTAAATTATGCCGAATCGATTTCTCGGCGGAATAGGTTGGTTGTCTCATGATAGAATGACTCATAGGAAATCTACGTGATCGTACTCCTGATTCGGCTAATTAAAACGTTTCTAGCACGCGAACGTAAATTTCAATAATTTTGTTATTCTTAATCGCGATTATCA